ATTCCAAATTAACTTTATATCTATGAGCCTACCCATAGCAGTTAAGTAGTATTTTTAAATTGTATTCAATTTTGCCAGTTCTAATAAAAAACAGCATCTTCGCACCTTTTTCCTGGTTGTTATTTCCTCCATTCTCTTCTTAAGGCTCTCCCATTCTACAGTCAGTTCCCATATATTTTCAACTATTTCAGCAAGCATATTGTTTGGACGGCGTGATTTGGTTTGGCATGGTCGGCAGGTGAGCTGATATATGGGCAACTTATACTGTATTCACGACTGGGACGCGTAGGAGATTCACCCCTTGTAAGAATTACTTGACATTGACAGAATCCACAATCCTTCCACGGTTATAAAGAAAAAGATGGAAAGAGACAATAACAAATACTATGCAAATTTCAGTTGCACATTTATTCATCAACATCAAAGTTCGAACATTTTAAAGATATTGTACATTCCAGTATGTAGGCATTTTATTGACATTGTATTATGGACATATGTAGACATTCCACATTGCAATAACAACTTGAAACTGAAATCCCGTTACCACAGGATGGTGCTATGCCAAATCGGTTGGAGCTGCTTCCGCTTGTGAATGCTTCTCAGATATATCACAACCCTTCTCCTCAGCTTCTTCTATCTGCTTCAGGATCTCTGCCTTTTTCTCATGCAGGCTCTCTATTTTACTGTTAATCTTCTCCAACTCCGTTTCTAGCTTGCTAAGATCCTTGTTCCTGTACTTGCCACCGAGTTTTCTTTTCTTCTCACCTTTATCCTTCTCTTCTGCTCTATTTTCATTTCCTTCTTTTGTTTTATCTTCCACCTCTTCCTTCTGTTTTCTCTCTGATTCAATTCCAACCCCTTCTACTTCAATTTCTCTTAAGGTTATCTCACTCACCCCCTTCCCATCATCTGCACCAGCCTTTTTCTTCATATTCTCACAATTACCCTTCTTCTCTACATCTTCGTCATCTTTCTCCTCTTTCTTACGTTCTCCTTTCTTCTTCATGTCTCTTTTCCCATCATCCTCTTCTTCTCCACCACTCTCTTCATTCTTCAGCTTTTTCTCTTTCTTTTTTTCATTCTTATCTTTCTTATCTTTCTTCTTCTTTTTCTTCTCTTCATCTCCATCTTCTTCAGTCTCCTCATCTTTCTGCTTCTTTTTCTTCTTCCCTTCTCTTTTCCCATCATCTTCTTCTTCTCTATTAGTCTTTTCATTCTTTAGCTTTTTCTCTTTCTTTTTCTCCTTCTTATCTTTCTTGTCTTTTTTCTCCTCTTCATCTCCATCTTCTTCTTTGGTCTCTTCATCTTTCTGCTTCTTTTTCTTCTTCCCCTCTCTTTTCCCATCATCATCTTCTTCTCCACCAGTCTCTTCACTCTTCAGATTTTTCTCTTTCTTTTTCTCCTTATCTTTCTTGTCCTTTTTCTTCTTCTTCTTCTTCTTCTCTTCATCTCCATCTTCTTCTTCTGTTTCTTCATCCTGCTGCTTCTTTTTCTTCTTCCTCTCTCTTTTCCCATCATCTTCTTCTCCACCAGTCTCTTCATTTTTCAGCTTTTTCACTTTATCTTTCTTGTCTTTTTTCTTCTTCTCTTCATCTCCATCTTCTTCTTCAGTTTCCTCATCTTTTGGCTTCTTTTTCTTCTTCCCCTCTCTTTTCCCATCATCCCCTTTTTCTCCACCAGACTCTTCATTCTTCAGCTTTTTCTCCTTATTTTTCTCCTTATCTTTTTTGTCTCTTTTCTTCTTATTCTTCCCTTCATCTCCATCTTCTTCTTCAGTCTCTTCATTTTTCTGCTCCTTTATCTTCTTCTCTTTCTCCTCCTTGTCTTCCATCTTGTCTTTCTTCTTCTTCTTCCCTTCTTTCTTCTCTCTCTTATCTCCATCTTCTTCTTCTTCAGTCTCTTCATCCATCTGCTTCTTTTTCATTTTCTCCTTCTCCTTCTCCTCCTTGCCTTCCTTCTTGTTTTTCTTCTTCTCCTTCTCTTCTTTCTTTTCTCTTTTATCTCCATCTCCTTCTTCTTCTTCATCTTTGTCCTTAGTCTCCTTCTTCTCTTTCTTCTCTTTCTCCTCCTTGTCTCTCTTCTTTTTCTTCTTCTCTTCTTTATCTACATTTTCATCTCCTCTTCTCACATCCTCTACATCCTTTTTTTCTTTCTCATGTCTGTCTTTCTTCTTCTTCTCTCCTTCTTTGCCCTCTCCACCTTTGTTCTTCTCTACTGTCTCTCTAACTTCATCCTCTTCAGCCTTGTTCTTCATCATCTTCATTTTATCTTCACCATTCTCCTTCTCCAGTTTTTCATCATCATCCTTCTTCTTCTTTTCTTTGTCCTTCACCTTCTCCTTTAACTCCTTATCATCCTTTCTCTCGTTTTTCTTTGCTTTCTCCTTATCTTTCTCTTCATGTTTCTTCTCCTTGTCCTCCTTGTGTTTCGATTTATCCTTCTCAACTGACTTGGTTTTCAATTCAAGTTCCCCCTGGGCCTTCTTGTCTGTTTCCCCTCCACTGCTGACAGATTCAGATTTCCCTGACATTTCTGGACCTTTCCCCTGAAAGATTACATAAGTTACAAATTAAGATAAATAATGAAAAAAAAAAAAAAAAAAAAAAAAAAAAAAAAACAGAAAACAATTGCTACAACCTGCTATAAGTAAGGATGAAATTCAATGACAAAACTGCACCAACTTTCCCTATTTATATACTAACACGCTTCTATCTCTGTCTACCACACACAAAAGTGATGGCGTTAACTCCTAGAAACAATAAAGATTCATGGAAAAAAGTGTGCTAATATGATCTCAGTTGAATTAGGAACTATGTTACTAGTTAAATAAGACAGAAAACAAATTATAACTATCACATGATGTGTCTTAATGACCATTCCTTTAGCATTTTCTCATTTCATATCCCTATTATCACCTCAAAAAAAAGATAAATGATCAAAACAAAGGGTAATCCAAGATGCCAAGAAAAGAATATTCTAAATTTCAGAAATTTATTGAAAATGTTCTGTATTCCTAATCCAACTAATACACATCAGACCATGGCAGAATCCAAAAAGCTAACCACAACTCCTCCACTATGGTGACCCTTCTTCCTTTCCTGCAATAGGAGGCAGAAGCCAGTACAACTCAGTCTCCACCCTACACCGTACCACCACTGAACTTCACCAACAAGGCAAAATAGAGCCAAATGCTCTCAACTATCTGTCCCAAAGAGAATCAAAAATCGGAACAAACCTCCTAAATTCCTAACAGATAGTAAGATCTAAAAGTTTTCCTAATCATTTCCTCAATAGGTACAGAAAGTAAACCAACAAAACTCTCCATTGATTACCTCTGAAAAACAACAACTCCATAGATGATATCTTAATTGGTTTTCCTGAATAGACGATCCTCTAATTTCTTTTCAATTAGAGGTAATCTGGACAGGTAAGAAGAGTCAAAAAGAGCATGATCCCTACATCAGTATACAGATCTTATACCAAATTCATCCTTAATCAGAGTACCCATCACCCCATTAACAAAACCCGTGATCAGAATATATCAGATCATGGGATCAACTCAATCCATTTTCTGGGTACCAATAATCAAAGTTGGAAAAGATTCTATAAACAAAAACAACACACAGAAAACACCCAACAAAATCTTCATATTATTCATCAATGAGAACAAACAGTCAAATGAGATTGACCAACATGATTAAAAGGATAAAGCACAGAACCAGAGAAGAGACTATAGATTTCTGTACCTCAAATTTTCCGCTAAGACTTTGAACTGGATCGAGAGGAAGAGAAATTTTCCGGGTGTATTGAATGGTGGGTACTAGACTACTTACCTGCTTTATAAAGGCGCTGAGTTGCTTCGGATTCTTCTAGTACACGTTCAGGACCGGAGTCAACGTTTCTTCGACCGGAGTCTTGTTTCTTCGACCGGACCATAGTCGGTGGCAAGCAAAGAACAACGACAGGTGGCTAATTTTTTTAACACGTTCTGACGTCATTCCGTTTATAGAGCAGTGCTAGGGGCACTCGCTTTCTGCACTCTCCGGCAAGCACTTCCCCTGTCATTGGGCCACGTAAGCTTCTTTAAGCTTTCAGCGCAAGCTCCCGGAAACCAAAATAACGTGACCCAATAACAGAGAAAGTGTTGGCCGGAGAGTGCAGGAGGCGAGTGCCCCTAGCATACCTCTTCCGTTTATAATATGAAAATGGGGAAAACACTCCCTCGGAAGATATACTTTTTCACTTTTATATATTATATTTATATAAAATTTTAATTATTTAGTTTTCATTTTTAATTAACAAGATTTATTTCTATTTATTAAAAATAATTAATTTTTATTTAAAAAATATAATACATTTTAACTATTAAAAATAAAAAAATAAATAGTTAATATTTTATATAAATATAAGAAATAAAATTTATATATAAATAGATATCTTATTATTGAAAAATATTTTTAAAAATTATTGATTTTTTATCTTAAGATACACAATTATAAATAATTCTTTATTACTTTTCAACTATACAACTTAGATTTCAAACCTTTTACTTTTATTTAAAAAAGTTACCATTAAATTAT